CACACTCCCGGAAATGCTCTGGATTCCCAAGCTCCCTGCTCATTTGCTCTGGGAAAGGACGCCAAGTCTCCAGTGCACCTGCTCTCACTGGTCTCTAATCAGGGTGAGCTCAGCTCCTCAGAGGAGACCACTGGCCAGATTCCCATTACCCCCAGTCCTTACCTCAGCGGCCTTTTGAAAGACATGGAACACTTACTAAAGATACTTCTTAATTGACACATACACTCTTTTCCTATACAGGAAATCAGAAAGAAATGATGATACTCTTTAGACATTCTGCAGAATTTTGCTTTCATTCCTTTTCTTCAACATCCATCTAATGCAGTTATTCTAAATAGAGTTAGTGTTCTGAATATGCTTTCTTGTCCCTATGCCACACACCACAAACACTTACAAATCCCAGAATGTCTCTTATGCAGATGAACACGGATTGACTACTACCTGCTGCAATAGAAACCCTTCTTCTGCAGCTGTCACTGTGGAGGGACAAGATGCACCCACAGGCTGTAAGGGTGACCCTTTCCCCAGCTGATCTTTGAAAACAACATTCCTAGGACACGGCTGTGCCCTACATCCTTCTGGGCAGCAGCTGACAGCCCCACCTCAGGCTGACTCATGACCTACATCTTAGGGCATGGGGGTGCGGTGACCCCCTCGCCATAGCAGCTGTTTGAACTGCATCATCAGCTGGTGGTGTCTGGGCAGCCAGTCCACCCGGTGCCTCCTGCCGGCCAGAGCCCAGGGCTTCCTATTGGTTTCAGATAATTCCTCATTTACTTTATTTCCCCTCAACGTTCACACTGAGGTGAATTTGTACCATTCCATTTACAACCATTCGAAGGGAGCTCTGGGAGCATAGTCTGTAGGGATTATGCTGCTAAACCAAAGGTAGTGGCTCTCTGGCAGTTCAAATCCACCGGCTGCTCTATGGGAGAAAGACGGGCAATGTAATGTGCACTTTATAGCCTGGAACCAGCCCTGGTCCACAGTGAATAGGTTTCAGCTTGCTAGCAATCAGAGGCCTCCATTCCCTCCTCTTCAGCCTGACCAGTTTCCTTTGAAGATTCACTATAAAATTAGAGGACATTTCCCAAATCACAGCCCAGGCTCTGGATTCCCACTGAAAATGGTGTAACTGAGAATGGGAAATATGGCTAAAATTTAAGGACTGCCGTGGAACTGTAGGATTTCTGATCCTACTCCAGCTCTGGATGGGTAACTGGAGGTAAAGGAAGTGAGCACCAGAAGTGGAAAAATCACATTTTCCATTTCATTTCCAGCTCCAGCTGTGACTTCTAATTCCTATCTGTTGTTGACAGGATGTCTAGGAGTTGTGCACAACTCAACAGATGACACCTAACAACAACAGGAGTATCTGGATCAGAAGCATAGCCAGGTTCTTCCATCAGGAGGAGGGACAAGGGGCTGGGGGTGAATGGTGAGTGTCACCCCATGAACACCACCACCTCTTTCAGCTGCAGGTCATGCTCCTTTGCTGCTTGCTGAACTGCTTTGACATTACCACCTCTAACAATCATTGTGTCTGCTCTGTATTGGTCATCCCATATTTGTCAACAGGCTACCATTTTTTGGTAATGTTTTGAGAGGAGTGACTGTTTTCACTCTGGTTCTCTGTCTTCAGCTAAAGTCTGTTGACAAGATCCACTCATTTTCTAATAGCGCTTAAGCCTTGAGCAGAGGTGGCCCCTCTAAGGACACATGTCACTCTTAAAAACAGTGGCTGCACTGAAATCCCAAAAGGACTTGCTTTGAGTCTACCAGTGATTTCGCAGAAGTCTGAGCAATTTCCTGCTGTGCAATTTATTGCCTCTGAATACTGGCTGGAGGGAGGGTCAGCTACGGGTCCACTCCAACTCACACACAACAACAACAATGAGCAAGTACAACATGTCTAAGAATGAGGGATGTGTATAGGCAGAGAGATTTAAGGAAAATCTAGAAAATGGGATTATGTTAGTTAATCTGCTTTAGGACTAAAAGGATCAGACTATGATGACAATGAAAAGGAGAACTGAGAGAGCATGTGTCCAACTTTAACAAAAATAAGTCCAAACCAATTTATTGGAATCCAAGAGCACTCTTTGCTTGCCAAATATTTCTGCTCAATCCAACAATCTAGCCTAGGATGGTGAGCTTCTCCTCTCCTCTCAAGGACAAATGAATTATCTTGGTAGAGGTGAAAACAGCTATAATTTGTCTAAAATTTTACCTTTAGAGATTTGATTCTATGGTTAATAGCAATTCTATTATACAATTTAAAGTCTGCTCGTTTAGTGAAAGGAATCTTTCTGGCATAGTAGTTAAAAATCCAGCTACTAACCAACACATCAGTAGTAGTTCAAACCCATCAACTGCTCTGTGGGAGAAAGAGGAGGCAGTGTGCTTTCATAGAGACTGACAGCCTTGGAAAGTCTATGAGCAGTACTATAGGGCCACTAGCAGTCAAAATAAACTCCCTAGCAAGAAGTTTGGTGTTTAGTGAAATGTGCTCTACCACTAACAGTTCAGCAGTTCAAACCTATTAGCTGCTCCAGGGTAGGAAGATGTAGCAATTTGCTCCTGCAAAGATTACAGCTGGAAACTGTGTGTCAGTCCTCCCATGTCCTCCACATTCTCTGAGTCAGAACCACCACAGAGGTGTGAAGACAATGAGAAAGTTACATTGGGATTTGGATGGGATATTGGATATTTCAACTCTTTAAAAGGTATGCAAAATTACCTGCAAAATAGTGAAACAAGAAGTCAAGCAGGTAGAGGAAAAATGAACAATTGGACTTTTTTTTTCAAATAGAAATAAAATTTATATTTAACTTCTGGTGAATAACAGCTTCAAGATAGCTTCTAAACTGTCAAATTTTGGTTTAATAAGGCTTAAGTGAAAACTACCATGATAAATTTATTCCCTTTAAAATTATTTAGAAGGATGAGTCTAAGTTTTTTTTAAAAAATCTACCATTTTATTATTAATATATCTATCAAATGAATGGCACACTCATTGGCTTACGTTTTCTTCCATAACCAAAAGCAAAAGATCATCTACTACTATATCTGAATGTTGCGCCTTAAGTAAAAATTAAATGGCCTGGAAAATGTCCCCAACTAGGAGACAAGTGACACGAAAAGCAACCAGAACAATTTTGCTGAGGCTGAATATGAAGCGTAATCATGATCTCGAGCAAGAAACCAACTCCAAGGAAAAATAAAATTAAGTCATTACTCCTTTGGCTAATGCAGGAAATTGGGAACAGTATTTCGAGCAACTGTTTCTGTTTCCTGTGCTTTTTCCCCCCTTTTTAATGATGTTGAGCCATTGCTTATCTAATGAAGGGACTCAGTAAATAAACTCACACATGACTTTAAACTGATTACTCTGGAATAGGGGATTTTTCCATTCCAGCAATTGCTTTCCAGAAAGAAGGCAAATCTCCAGTTCACACCAGATCCCATAATCTCAAAATTTATTGTTAATTGTTAAAATGTCCCCTAAATGGTGTGGAAGCAGAGCTGAAGTGCTGTCCCCAAAACATTTCTATTCCCATTCACATCCATGCGAAAGAGAGAAAATTTTGCCATACTTGTACCATCTGCTATTATCACACCACTCACTATTAAATAAAGACCAAAAAGCATACTTACACTTTCAGAAATGCAAGTGAGTTTCTGCAGTCTTTTCCTTTATGTGATCAAGTGATAATATAAAGAGGACAGCAATAAACATTAAAAGGATAACAAACTTCCTTAATTCAGAACTCCCACTAACCCTCAGTTAGAAACCAAAAACTTGGATTAGCATAAATTCACTTTTACATTCTTTTTTAAAGGTACTTACTTACAGTTAGATCATTGTAAGGATCACACCTCTGCCTGCACTCTCCACAGCGGTGCAGGGATCCACACTCCCTCCCTCCCAGCCTGCACTTCCTTTGTTGTGGGAGGTAAACCAGTTACAGGAACAGCCTTCCAAACCTCCTGCCACGTGAGCAAGACGTCACCTTAATGCTGACTTTATATTGTGGCTTCTGTGAAGGTTTAAAGGTTAAAGGCATCATAAATTATGTATTTCCCCCTATGCCAGGCCCATAAAATGTACTTTCACTGCTCATTAAAGATATTGCTTCTAAATGGGCAGAGGCTTTTTATTTAAGTGCCCAAACAGAAACATTTCCATTATGTTTATGTTCCATTGGCTTTTCTGGAGAACTAAGATAGTTTGAAATTTGGAAGCTGCAAGAGTTTGTTGTTCCAGAATATGTAGCAACTGTCAGCATATAGTCAATTGTGGTTCACTATTTGGATGGAGTAAAACACTCGGCCAGCATGGCCATATCTCTGCCAGCAGTACAATAGTCAGGCAAACCCTGCATCACCAGTAACTTTGGAGCTCTCTCCTCTTTCACTGCCTTGATTTACTAATCTGAAGAGCCAGAGAGTAGAGAGACCCTGATACAAGCCAAGCACCCCTAACCTCCACACTGGTGCACAATCCAGGCTGGGGTTCCTCCTGGCATATGCACTCTGGATACATCCTTTCTAGTCTGCCCTGCACTGAGTCCCTCACTTACGTTTTGCCACCTACAGGATTCTCTCTCTCTCTCTCTCTTTCTCTCTTCTTTCTCATGTACTGCAGAGGCTGCCTGCGATCTTTCCCTCCAGGACGACCACACCCGTTCACCCTCCCGGCCTTTAGAAGCAAACTGCACACTAGTTCGGATCGCGCCTCTCCAATCTCAGACCACTGGGACACAAGGGACTCTACTTAAGCTGGGCCACTGACCACGTTCAGCTCTGCGTTTGACTAGCAGTGATAGAGGACTCAGGACACAGATTGCCAGCTGTAGAGCCACAGACTGCGGGCCCGGGTACACCCTGCCCACTCTGGCAACTAAGTGGCAAAGTTGCTCCCTCCTCTTCTGCTGCAAAGCCGTTTCCTCTCCGCAGGCAGACAGGCGCGCGCGCAGATCCCTGCTCCTTCAACTTACCAGTTTGGACTTGGCGCGTTGCAAAAATTCTTCCATGTCGCTGAGAGGGGTTGGAGGCAGAAATACCCGAAGGGTCACAGGAAAAAGGACCCGTGGGCGCAGAGAAGCGCTCCCTCCTGCTGCTCAGAGGCAGCGCCCCGGCTGGACCCCCGGCTCCCTCCCTCCCCCGCACGGCGAGCCGCTCTGGGCACAGGCTCCCCTAATAAGGAAAGTGGGTGTGCCGGGAGCACAGGGCGCGCCCCTCAGGGAGTAGGGCGCGCGAGGCCAGGACGCGGGGCGGGGGTGCCGGCCGATGGCGAGGGGCTCCTCGGCCAATCGCAGAGCCCCGCTGCGGCCTCCTGACGTGGCGCGCAGAAAAGATACTGCAACCATGGACAGCGCCCAGAAGTGCCGCCCGAGTGCAAGGGGCTGCTGCAGAGGGAGGCTGCCGCAGGCACCGCCGCCTGCTCCGAGGTGGGGCGGGGAGGAGAAGGGAAACTAGCCTAGGGGAGGCCCCTATGCTGCCTGGCACGTTGCCGAAAGCCCTAGTGGTCACTTGATGAGTTGGCTTTGCTGGACTGGCTAGGGTATGCGCTCAGTTGCAAAGGGGTGAGAGGGGGTGTGGCATTACTGGCTAAAACAGACCAGACGACCTTGATGGAAAATAATCAGAAGAGCATGCTGGGAGGTTGTGCTATACTGCCTGTTTCTCCCTTATTTCAAAACATACCCATCCAAGAAATGACACCCACAGTTCAGTTCAACCGAGTGCCTTAATACTGGTCCCAGGGCTGATGCATAGGTGCGCCTTATACCAACAAATAGGCTCAAAGGAAAGCTGCTGCAGTGGAAAGCTACTCAGAGGGTGGTCTGCAAACCACCAACACCAGGACCACAGAGCTGACTAAAAAATTAAAACTCTCGGACTCACCCACCTCCCTCCACTCAGAGCTATGGATTAAGAGTTTGTGTTTCTACACGATCTTCAGATGATTTCTATGTGATTTGAGAAGTACTGCAATCAGCACTTAAATGTACCGCTATGAGCCTTATTTAAGGAGTTGTGTTGTGATGCACCACTGACTTACCTCTGACTATTTCATGTGTAATAATATCCTTCTTGTCTTTCTTGTCCTCTTCTTAGAGGAATGGTCTTAACTTTGCTCATTAAAACACCCTGGCCTTTAAAACATAGCGATGCCCAGGCTCCATCCCACAGTATTTGAGTCAGTGTTTCTAGCAGTGGGACCACAGCATCAGTGTAGTATGAGAGTGATATGAGTGGTTCAGACTGTACCATTTTGAGCCACTAACACAAGTCCACACCCAGTGCTTCGAGGCCCCTGACTGCTCCACAGGACAAGGGGTGGGGCAGGCTCCTCCTGTTAAAATTTGAGCTTTGAAAGCCCAATAGAGGATTGCCATGAGTTAGATTCTACTTGATGGCAGTGAGTGGAATGCAGTTGAATAATGTACAAGCCCAAGGTGCTGCTAAGCAGAAGATTGGCAGTTTGAATCCACTGGAGATTCCATGGGAGAAAGAAAGGCAGTGTCTTCCACAAAGATTAACAGCCTCGGAAACTAATAGGGGTCACTAAGAGTCAGATTAGAATCGACAGTTGTGGTTTTGCTTTTCTTTTTTTTTTTTACTTGCTGTTGTGTACCATAGAGTCAGAACCGACCCATAGGCGACCCTCCCACAGGTTTTCAGAAGCAGTTAATCACTGGGAGGAGATTTTCCATCCTTCTCCCCCAGAGCAGCTGGTAGATTTGAACTGCATGCATTCTGGATTGTAGCTCAGCTTCTTGGCACTAGGCCACAAGAGTTGTTCCATATCTTTCGAGGCATTGTGACCAAAAGCCTGTGTCTCGGTGAGGATCTGTCTCTGTGAACACAGGAAAGGGATACATTCAGCAGATATGAGCTTGCTTTTCAGACTTTGTAAAATAAACTCAAACTCATTGCAGGTTGAGTTGGAACTGACCCACTAGGTTTTCAAGGCTGTAAATCACATGGAAGGAAATTGCCCATCTATTTCACACACCCTCATACATCCCATGGCCTTTTAGTTGAGTCTGATTCATAGCAACCCTTTAGGATAGAATAGTCTGCCCACAGGATTCTCAAGGCTCTGAGGATTCTCATATGGTTTTCCTACAGAGAGACTGGTGAGTTCAAATAGTTGTCATTTTCCTGGTTGCTGACAAATCATCTCCAACTTATGGCAACCTCAAGAGTGTCAAGGTGGAACTGTGCTCTAGAGGATTTTGAATGCTGGTTTTCAGGAGGAGATCACCAGGCTTTTCTTCCAAGTTGTCCCTGGGTAGACTCTGGACCACCCAGGGTCTTTGTGGATCTGTAAGTCTCTATCTGTGCTTTCTTCTCCCTTCCTCCCTCCTCCCCTCCTCCTCCTTCTTTCTCCTCCCCCTCTCCTCCTCCTCCTTCTTTTTCTTCTTTTCTCTCTCTCTCTCTCTCTCTCTCTTTCTCTCTCTCTCTCTCTCTCATATTTTCACCCCAGTAGAATCCAATACAGAAAAAAGTCAACAGACTCTGCAAATTTGATTAAAGTACAATGATAGCAATATTAAGCTCCAGGTCACAGCCAGGAGATGAGCTGTGTAGAAACTGCAGATTCTATCTGCATTCTTTGCTGACTTAAGTAATTTAAAACCATCCAAGTAAAACAAGTGTTGCTTATCCTTTAAATCAATAAAATTAGTAACAATTCCAGTAATATTACTGAGGAAAAATTACCAAAAATTCTACTGCTGATCCCACTGAGGGTAGCAAATGTACAATATTATTTTGGCATGTGACTTTTTGTTGTAAGCATTCTGGGTAGCTATTATATATTCTTGACATTTTAACATTTTTTTTTCTGATGGACTAAAATTCTCACATCTATCTGCCCTAGTTTGTCTTCAGTAGAAGACATTCATTCAACATCCATTCAAAAGCTTATCAATATTACCCACTCCATAAGGCCTCCTTGAACTGACTGTATTAATTTTCTGTTGCTGTTGTAATAAATTACTTGAATTCAGTGATTAAAATACACACATTTATGATATTACATCTCTGTAGTTCAGAAGTCTTCAGTGGGTAACACTGAGATGTTAACAAGGCTGTGTTCCTTTTCGAAGGTCGACAGAGTTCTCTTCCTTGCCTTGTTCAGCTTCCAGAAGCCAATCACATTCCTTGACTCATAGCTCTCTGCTTCCACCTTCAAAACTAACCATGTTGCATCCCTCTGACTCTTCTGAAGTACTCATATCTCCCTCTGACTCACTTTCTCTACCTCTCTCTTTTATTTGTTGAGGATTCTTGTAATTGCATTGTGCCCACTTGGATAACTGAGAAGAAGCTCTGTATTTGCTGATTTAAAGTCTTAATTCTATCTGCCATTTAAATGTTCTTTTTTTCATAAAACAGTATATTCACAATTTTTGAGGATTAGGATGTAGACATCTCTGGGGAAGGGGTTTCATTATTCTTACCATCAACTCATTCTGACAGTTATTTGATGGTGATCAGCTTTTGATCCTCAGTTTCTTAACATCTTCTTCCAGATAAGCCAGGAGTCTAATGCTTTTAGCTCTCAACCAAAACCTTCAACTCTACCGTACAGTAAAATCAGCCAGGGGACTTTGAAAAATACTCACATCTAAGCCTCACTCCCAGGAATTTTTAACTGAATGCTCCTAAAAGAGACAGAGACATACTTAAAAAAATTTTTAAAAAAAGCTTTCCATTTCTTCATGTGCTTGTTGGCCATCTGAATGTCTTCTTTGGTGAAGTGTCCATTCATATCCGGTGCCCATTTTTCAATTGGATTATTTACCTTTATCTTGTTGTGGTGCTCAAGTATTTTATAAATTCTAGATATAAGTCCCTTATCTGACATGTCATTACCAAACACTTTT